CTTGTCAACCACTCTTCCAATAATTTCTTCACTGCTGGTGGCGCTTCCTCAGCTGTGGACGTGGAATCTCCCCGTTCGCGTGATGCAGTTACACTTTCATGAGGAGGGGGTGAGTCGCTCCTGGCGTAACGCGTGGCGTCACATTCTCATTGTCTTCCCTACCATCCTCGTTGATAGTGTTCAAAATGTTCGTAGTGACACCTGTTATTGCTTTCTGTCTTGCATCTCCTTTTCCTGCCATTGTTACTTTATGCAAACGAGGAAAAGGTGGCTATCCCTTTTTATGACCTAGAAGAAACTAAAATTTTTAACTAAAAATCTCCCCACAGACGACGCCAAATTGTTTGACCAAAAAGTGTTAAACCTTTTAATTAAATCAATCAATGATAAGAAGAAGGGTGAATCTTAGTTAACAATAATAAAATCTAGACCAAATATTAAATGAAGTGGACGAAATGACCGTCGTTAGCTAATATGTTTGAGCTGATTAAATGCTCATGAATGCAACACCATAAATGTGCAACAAATATAGATAAATGTGACAAGCATAACAAAAGGGAATTTACTACCCAATTATTGCAAGATTCGGATGGTTCTTTCCCCTGACAGCAGCGTGGAAAGAAGGGAATAAAAGAGAGTTCAGGGATCTTTGGATCTTGTGAATATAGAATCAAAAAATGTATGCTTGAATAATGTATTCAATGAACAAGACAACTTTAGTAAATTCTCTCAGGTCAACCTTTTACAGAGTATTTTTCTTCTCATAAAAAATGAAGATCCCCTTTTTGTTCTCTATCTCTTTCTATTTATAAGGGATATTTCCCTAAAAATCCTAAAAAAGTACAAAATAAGGAATATTGAAGTTAATATTCCTTATATCCATATCTGAACCTATGCTACTGTTATTCCTTCATCTCAGCTGCCCGTCTTTGACATCAGTCTTCTCGAGAGCAGCCTTCAATTATCACATCGTGGTCGACCCCGTCCGCGGTCTGGCTTATCCACTGTTGCCAAGTCGCCAAATTTTGACCAATACAGAAACATGAATGTCTGGTTGTCCAAACAGTATGATGAGCAAGAAATGCTCATGGCAGAAGGTGGAAAAATTGGCCGCAGATGTGGTAGCAGAGAGTACTGATTTTAGGTCGACAATGTCGCTACTTGTCTTTCTAAGATTCGGCATGGGCTATTTTCACATGAGTATGAATCTGGATAAAATTTGCGTATATTTGTATCAACACATTTCTTCAAGCACAAATTAGCTCACACCTATATGGCAGCAGTACACTGACAAGTTACAATAGGATACGTGGCGGTCATACAGAGTATACTTTTCCTGTAATGACTTAACTCTGGGAAGCATAAAAGAAGGAAAATGATGGTTCGAGGAACTAGCTTGTACTGTTATAATTACACTATCATTATATGTGAAACCATCTCGCTCTCAAAGTTTCAAACTCTAAAGCTCTACACCTTGCTCTCTAAGCATATTTTCACTTGCCATGCAGAATAAGGCAGAGCTAGAGTTTGGTACGGGTTTGGATTAACCCATTAATTTTTATTAGGAGAAATTTTATTAATTGAGTATAAATTTCATTGCAAAACCTAGTAACTAAGATGAGCTATGAGTTTTGTAACAAGAACATAAATTTCAAATTCTAACTTCGCGGCTTGAGGTCTACAATAATCATTTGGAGGTACACATCACCCTTGCTTTTCCTTCACTACACTGTAACGATTTGTTATTAGGAGTAGTATAGCTAGAGATTAACAATTACTGCCACTACATTGCAAAGCTACAATTTTAAGTGAGGAATACAGATAAATACTGTAGATCGTTTGCATAAATAATTCAAGTTGAATGTTGTGAGTATTTATACTCGCTGTCAATATTTTCCCTCCTCCAAGCTATAATATTACTAGGTCAGGTATATATGTCGTGGATTTTTGCCATGTCGGATGGTAGAGGAGACAAAGTCTGCCATACGCAGGGTTAACACATTTAATATTAAAATTATAAATTCATACTTAATATTGAATAAATTGCAGTGCTAGATTGACTGAAAAAGCGTACAAATTCTGCATTATTGTCGTACCCTTGAAACCTTGAATAGTGCATGCTCACATAGGTGGATCCAAGAATTAATAGATTGTTCATAATGTTTCATTTAGATAATTGCATTCACAAAATTGTCCTAAATTATATACATCATTTGAGTCTAAAGCAATATATTTAATTGCACTCACAAAATCGTCCTAAATTCACAATGGAGGAATGGTTCACGTGGTCATCAAAACCAAGGTTGATAAGGACAAGTCACTTAAGCAGAGACTTGTAGTTGAGTTGAGAGTCCATTACTCAAATGGTTATTAACTATCACGAATTATCACCTAAAGTCACTTTTCTTTTGTTTGTAACAACAAAGTCACTGAACTATGCCTATTGCACTCAGAAGGTCATTTAATTTTTCAAATTTTGGATTGCCAAATACCTATTTTACCCTCTAAATTATAAATATTTACCTTCTTTTTATTTTTTAAAGCTTTTAATATACATTATATATTCTTGAAAATTATGTTCAATTATATTATTTGTTTCTACCAACTTTCCGACAGCACAAAGTTATGTCACCGGAAAGTAGGGCGATTATCTGTATAGGGTAAAATTTATTATGTTAAGTCCTGCATGTGTGTGTGTGTGTGTGTGTCTATATATATATATATATATATATATATATATATATATATATATATATATATATATATATAATTGAGCATAATTTTTAAGAGTATATAATGTATATTATAAAATACCTTTATTATTTTTATATTATGTGCATGGAATATATATATTACAACCTTTATTTTCTTTCATTCTGAATTGTGTAAGTAAATTTTTGAATTTTTGTTGTTAATACTAAAATTATTATTACGAACAAATTATTCTAATTAATTTTTTACTATGCTCATTATTTTGTTATTCCAGCATTATAAATGCTTAAATACTTTTTATTTTTTTAATTTATAAATAATATTTATTTATTCTATAGGTAAGTCCATAATATAAATTAAAAAGGGAAAAATTATAATATTAACAAGTTTAAGAAAAATAAAAAGAAGATAAACTTTTATAATTTAGAGGGTAAAATAGGTATTTGGCAATTTAAAAGTTGGAAATTCTAGTTGAGTGACCTTCTGAGTGCAATATGCATAGTTCAGTGATTTTGTTGTTACAAACGAAAGAAAAGTAACTTTAGGAGATAATTTTAAATAGTTAAATTACCATTTGAGTAATTGACTCTTGAGTTGGGACTCGGATGTTTGGTGGTAAGTGGTTCCAGTTAAGCATGAAAAACAATATACTAGTGCATTTTTCTCTGTCAGTAGACAGTAGATGTCTCCAACTGATCAAATGACCGCCTTTGCCTCATCCTATGATCATCAATTGTCCATGTCAATAAAACCTTTAAGTTGTAGCCACTCGACATCCATATATGGTTTCTGTTGCCTGTTGGGACCATATTTATGTTATGCAGCCAACATTCTCTTCAATCTTCCCATCTTCATATCTATTGCATGCCCACATCAAAGATTCTGATTTATATATGCTCTTTTCTTATTTGTTTTGTTTGTACTATTTGGGGCAGAGGCGGTTTCAGAATTTTAAGCTTATAGGTTCCTACAACAATCTCAAGTTAATTTACATAACTGGACCAACGAACTGGATTCCACGCCAAATATTCTTATACTTTTAATAAAATTTTTAGTACAACTATAGGATCTATGCAAAAGTTACTGGGTTCATGGGAACCCGTAATGTTTGATCTAGATCCGCCCCTGTTTGGTGCCAAAAGCTTAAATAAAAGCCAAGTTAATTAGGTTGAAAATCCATACTTAATTATGGACGAAAATAATCAAAAAGAAAAAGAATCTGTAATATCCTTCAGGCTTCAGCAATTTTATCTTTAAAATATATTAAGCGTCCTTTAATTCTAAAGTTTTAACTTCGGTAATTCCACGCTATTTAAGTTCTTCGGGATGAGGGTATATGTTCATATATGAATTGTGATATTAAAACAACCTGCACGCCAATTATTTTTTCCTTTTTAAAATAAGTCCTTGTATATATAACTGAAATGACATGAGCAAGTGCAAGACAAGGTGAGCTTGCATAATGGGACAAAGAATGAGATCATCGATCAATCATGCTCATTAATTATTTATTTATTTATCTATTTTTTTTGCCTGTAAAAGTCTTACCAAAACATCTGAAAGTCATCATTTTAATTCCATATGCATTGCATAGAATCACAAGAAGAAAAACTTGCGAGCAATTGGCGACTTACTGTAGAAAGGAGGGACGATAAATACATAACGCATATTTACCTACACAGTGTAATCGTTTAATTATTACTTAATCAATATATATTCGTTTTATTTATCTTTAAATTTATAAAAAAAATGGTGTCGTTTTTTTTTTCTTACAAAATTTCCAGTGAGACTAAGTTTTGTAGGAAGTGTAATAGTGGGAATTAATGGTCAATGAACTGAGTCAAATCCGTGAAGTCTCATGTTCTATCTATTCCAGTTTTGATGGTCAAGGTTATCCAAAATAATAGATATCGGCAACATTAGTCGAGATACGTATTAGTTAATCTAAACATTACAATTATTTAAAAAAAAAAAAAAAGAAGTGTAAAAGTGGGACCATATAATTGAAGCACGAAGGGACCCATATACAGTTTTATTTCCACTCCATTATGTCCCAAAAAACAGACCTAAGCCTTACACGTCGTTCCTTATCTATTTCGGAATTTTGCTTTCTCTATTTCGGAGTACCTTCTAAAACGCCTATACACACACACACACACATTCCCGTACAGACTTGTAAATCATTTACTAAACAATTTCTTTATCCTTTTCTCTCTCACACACAAACACACTAAGACATGAAATGAAGCAACACCCCACCCCTACCCCCCACTCCCTAGCTAGCCCCACACAGTCTTTCCTTAATTTACATTTATATATATTGAGTTTTGAGAGAGAAGCACTCACAACACAAGTTGTTCTCTTGGCTTTTGCATCATTTCCTCTCCTTTCCTTTGCAATTCAAATTTGTCTTCTGCTTCTATTCAACAGTTTCTTAGTTTACTCCTGTCTTTTGTCTTACTTAAGCCCCCAAAAATAAAACCAGTTTGGAGGATTGATCAGTTTTAAGCTCTAATTAAAATTTATATTAGGCTGTTCAGAGAGAGATAATTGTGCATTGATGGATCCCTCTACTGCACAACATCTTCACCAGGTAAAAATTAATTAGTGAGGTAGATGCATATAAGAGTAGTATTTGTAGTAGTAATGACGGTTTCTTCCTATTCTTTGTTGTGTCACTTGGCTTTCATCTTCTATTCTTTTCTTTTTCTTTGTTGTCTCACTTCTACTAATTTACATGTGAAAAGAAACTGCCGTTTTTCTTCACTTGTTGAGTCTTGTTAAGTGTTTTTGGTTCACATCAGGAGTAGTTGTCATTCTCCTATTTGGAAACCATCTTAATTAATTGAGAAGAAGCAGTTTTTGAAATACAATCCATTTGAAGTTCTGAAGGGAGAAAGTAAAATCAGAAACAAAGAATCATATATACTTGAATATATAGACATGGTCTATTAATTACCCAAAAAAGTTACTCTACAAAACCCCCCCCCCCCCCAAATAAATGAACTACTCATAATTTGTGCCAAAGTCCTAACTGGAAGGAGATCTAGTACTGTACAACCTTATACTTTTACTAATTTCTGTAAATTTCTTTTATTTCAAGATTGTAGCCATAGGAACAAAGATATGCTAGCTGACACTTTATTTTTTAATTTAAAGTCAGTCTGCTTAAGAAAACTATGTTGCTTTTCAAGTTAAAGATTATATTTTTGAATGTAAAGTTAAGGCATTCATATATCAACTAGAAGTTAGAACATTAATCAAGTGTTTCCTTTTCTACTTTAAGAAATATACTAGTACTAGTTCTTTACAATTTAGTTGCAATTTTTTCCCCAGTGATATCAAGTTCTGATCTTTTATAGTTAATGTGTTTTTTCAGGAACTGTCTTCTCAAACCCTAGAAAGCATGTTGGTGAGCACAAAGCCACAGCAAGACAAGAAGCCAAAGCCTCCTGAGCAAGCACAGAAATGTCCAAGATGTGATTCCAGCAACACCAAATTCTGCTACTACAACAACTACAGTCTCTCTCAACCTAGATACTTTTGCAAATCATGCAGAAGATATTGGACTAAAGGAGGGACACTAAGAAATGTTCCAGTAGGAGGAGGCTGTAGGAAGAACAAAAGGTCCTCATCAAGAAGTACTAGTCAAGATCATTCAATCAACACTAACCCTAATAATCCACTTTCTTCTCTCACTACACCAATGTCCCATGATTCTACTGATCTAAGCCTAGCATTTGCTAGACTTCAAAAACAAGGAAATGGGAACTTGGGAATTGAAAACCATAATATTTCAATGATGTGTAATGGGACTAACATTGCCCCTTCTGAAATTCAAAGTGGTTATTTTGATGCACTTAGAGGTGGATTTCTTGAAAATCCAAATGGATTTCACCAAAATTTGTATTATGGAGTTGGGAATATGGGACATCATGTGGAAAATGGTGGAATGGGGGTGAATAATGTAAGTGATCAAGAAATGGGAAGTATGCATTATGATCAAGAAATAAGTAGTGGTGTAACAACAACAACAGCTACTACAGTGACAACTGTAAAACAAGAGATGTGCAACATGTCTAGAGATCAAGGTGACAACAGAGTGTTGTGGGGATTTCCATGGCAGATAAATAATGGAGATGGAAATATGGGTACTGATTTTGATTCAAGCAGGAGAATATGGAATGGGGTTGGTGGTAACTCTTGGCATGGACTTCTCAATAGCCCTCTCATGTAGATGTTAGAGTTACTTTTTTAGCTCACTGGCTGATTAATCTGGATTCTCTCTATGCAGTATCCACCAAAGAGAAGGTTCATTACCAAGAGTTTTTTATTTTATTTTTTATCTATTTTCGCTCAGTCTTTGCTAGGTAAAAAAGATGAAAGAATTTTGTTCTTAGATCAGAGTTGAAACTTAACTTAATGATCTTGAGTTGTGTAAAGAGATTTGATTCACCTGAATCATATCTCTCTCTCTCTAATTTTTTTTTTCTTAAAAATATTTGGGATGTCTCTTTTAGGTCTCTTCCTTATGGATTGAAAAACTAATGAAAGTTGATTTATTCTTCTTTAATCTAGCTCCTGACAGACATACTGTGGTGTGTGAAATTTTGTTGGTTTGTTTAAGGAAAGTGTCTGCTTTTCTCTCTATTTTCTGGTTATTACGTTGCTAGTATTATCTTTCTAACTTCTGTTGCTGATACTGCTCCACTGTCTTTTTTCTTCTTCTTGGGCCGAGGGTCTATCGGAAACAGCCTCTCTATTAAGTAGAGTAAGATCTGCGTACACACTATCCTCCAGACCCCACTTGTGAAATATTACTGGTCGTTATTGTTGTTTAAGGAAAGTGCCTGTGATTGATAGAATCAGACATTGATGTTTCATATTTGATTAATGAATTAGTCTGAACTCTCTGAATTCTTTCACTCACTAAGAAGGTGGCTGGAAGCTATATACTCCTATTTTGTCTGCACGTGATGTTAGATTATTAAATTTCATGTGTAGCTTGTTTTCAAGATATGCTATCATGATAGTTTCTTATTTTTATGTAGATCTTAGAAAGAATATTATATGATGGAATAATTAAATGATAATGAGGTTTTGCAAGGCTTTTCTCTTCTTTTAAGCTATCGAACTTGAGTGAAGCATGAGCACCAATCTCGGGATTGATTTTCGACCAAATCCAATTTGAGATTTCAGCGTGACAGTATTTACAATATTTTACTATGTCCCGTATATATATGGAGTATAATGTTTTCAACAGTTTCTGAGAATTGCCAATGGGCAGTTTCTTTTCTTCTGGAGGACAAACTTGATAATATTCTATATATGTGCCAAACCCATTCGAACCTATCTATTTTCAAACTTAACATTCTAATCTCGTTGCTGTTAAATATTAAATGAGCCATCTTTTTTCTGGTTCTCAGGTTTCATTATTTGACTATGCTGCACCAAATTGAATCCATCAATCTCTATTTTATGGGGCAGTCAATTCAGCAAATGACATTAAAAAAAGTAGTAATATATTTGCGTTTTTATATCCATGTTAATAGAGAACTTGTTGTCTCTTCCATTTAATTTTTCTTTCTATAGTTTTTCAATTTTCACTTGTTTTCTGGTACATTTTAGAGGAGAAAAGAGGCATTCTTCAACATAAGATCTTCACACATGTCATTTGACTGTATGAATAGTGTGCTGTCACGTCATTTTCTCAATATAAGCAGTGAAAGCTTATAGACGCCAAATTCATTGTTTTTGCTACTCCATTTGTTTTGGGACATAAACCAACCAACTGCTTATTTCTTCTGATGTGATAAAATTTCCAGCAATCCACCGCCCAGTTGAAATCCGATACAATGATGTTGTAATCTTGAACAGTAATAAATCGGTGATGGCTTTCAAATCAGCTGAATGTGTAATTTAGACTCATACTACATATTGCATCATAGATATCGGATGTGAAAGAATTTTTGGAATTGTACATTCATTGATGTATTAATACTAATAAACCAAATTTGATTGAATGAATAGATTAAAATATATAGAATAAATAGATATAGAACGGTTAATGGAAATCGAACTCGCATCGTTAACTTGGAAGGCTCGGGGTTATAGTTGATGTCGATTCATTATGTTTAACGTCTCTAATTCAAAATCGAACATGAACTTTGGTTTCATTCGGGTCCTTTATGGAGATGAGTCAATTTATAGATCTAAGATGTGAACAAAATTTCGGAGAAAAAAAAGATAATTTTACCCATAACATCTATGTCAGCTTTTTGTCATATATATATATATATATATATATATATATATATATATATATATATATATATATATATATATATATATATATATATGTGTGTGTG